GGGGGGGGGGGGATCAAATCGCGTCAAAGTCTAATGAAGTGTGGAACCCAACACACATAAATTGCCGTTCGCATGGGATTTATTTCTCCTTATGTCCTGTTAAGTGGAGATCAGTCAGGCACAGGACAGAAATTCAATAAACAGTTGAACAACTCTTCGAGCTGAAGTTACGTCCCAAACGGCCTCCCCTTTTGTGTGTTGGGCTGGTGTCCGCAGGATGGACCCGCGGGGTCGCAGCTGCTGCCAGCGCTCTGCCCACGTCCCCTGCACCTCCTTACTTCTGCACGCACCAGCCCCCCTTCCAGCTGCCAACATCTTTGTCTAAAAGCTCTGCTGCCAGAACCCACTTTGCCCCCCCCACACACACACAGAACTGGAAATGCCACCCCCCCTTCACCCCAGGAACCCGATGGCGGGAGAAATACTCCCAAGACCCTCACGCTTTGCCGAGGTAATTCCGAGGTGTGTTTCACACTGTTCCCCAGAGCTCCCTGCAGGAGCCGGGAGGGCGCGGCAGTCAGCCCGCAGTGGAAGCCGCTCAACGATGGGCCCTGCCGGCTGCCTTGTCCCCACTCCCTTGCCAGTGCCCCTGCACCTCCCAGATCAACTCTGAATGCTCATCAGCCTTGGTCTCAGGGCGTGTGCTTCTGGGGGGAGCTCACGCCGGAGCAGTGGCCAGGAGGGAGCAAGTTGAAGGGGATGGGGACTTCCACGGGTGGGTAAAAATGCTCTTAAGTCTGAAGCACATGCGGCAGACCGCTGCTAAGTCTAGATAATAGGAACGTGCGTACGTGTTATTTTATTCTTAACGCTTTTCGTAGGTATGATCGAAATATTTTGAAATTAAACACAAAGCTTAAAGCAAGGAACCTTTCAAAGATAATGCTGATCCCAGCGATGGAGCAGCTGGGAGGGGGAGAATGGTTTCCGTTTTTTAACCCTGTTGAGTTTTAGGTGTCGGTGAAGCTTCCAAGTATCTGTTCCGTAGGTAGTTGGAGATCAATATCACAGGGAGGGGAAGAACTGAGCACGTAGGATAAAAGTTTAGGGGTGTTTCTGTGTATAACCTGAAGCTGAAGTTATGAGTCCAGAGGGAGAAACAAGGCTGATCATTGGAGAACATCCATCCGTCACATGGTGGGAAAAAGAGAGTGGCAGACGGGAGTGGAATAGAAGGAAGTTCTTCTCCGTGGTCCATCCGTTTTCTCAGCTCTCTGTTAACGTGCTGCACAAGCTCTGATTTTTCTTCGGTTCCATCAGGTTATGGATTATTCTAGGAGAGATTAAGAACCAGGAGAACACCATGTTTCAGAATCAGATTGGAAAGTTTTCAGAAATAAGTGTAATCGATAAGCGCGTGCAGCTAAGCGCCCCACGCTTCTCCTCTCGCGCTCCGCCTTCCGTTTCCCCGTCTGCGTTGGCTCCCGGGGACAGGCTGGGACCGCGCACGGGCTCAGGGAACGCTCTGCTGTGTTTTCCGTAAGGACACCCGGGGAAGCAAGGGGGAGGAGTGTGACGGAAATCCAGGACACGCCACCGTGCAGGCTTTAGGGCAGCGCGGGGACCGTGGGACCCTGCAGCCCCTCCGCAGCCTGAACACTTAGATAGTCTAAGTTTCTGCCATTCTCTCAGTCTCCCTACCTCTCTGCAGAGTGTGTCTTTTTACTGTCAGTTACTTTTTTGCAGTATGGGCCAGCACTAGGCTCAGGCCTAAATCAACCAACCCGTCAAACCATTAGGGTTTCGTCCTACACCAGCATATTGGATACAATGTCTCAGATGAGGCCTCACCATAGCAACCGGCTCTGCATGCTCCAGATTGGTATTTTAGTTCCTTGTCAAGCACTTGCAAATCTAGGCACAGCCTTTCCTGACTATAT